TTTTTTTTTTTTTTTTTTTTTTTTTTTTTTTTTTGCAAATATGATTCTCATAAAAATACATAAAAACAGCTCACTTTGGAATTTGTATGTGGCTTCGCGTCTTCCTTTTTCTCAAAAAAAAAAAAAAAAAAAAAGAAAAAGAAAAAACAGGAACTGAGAAATTTATCTTATCAGTTATCACTTCATCATTAATGGCGTCCATGATGAAGAACCCAGCCATGTTCGCGCCTCATTTTCCATTGCTGCAACTGCCTTCATTTTGCCACCGCTTGCCTCTCCCTCTCCTCCGTGGCCCTCCCTCAGCTCCCGCTGCCGCTTCAGTATCAAATTCCTCATTTCGGAGAGGAAGCGGCGACAGAGAGCTCCTCTCACTTTCGTCTTCCTCGGGATACCGGAATTCGACTCGGTATGTGAAGGTTAGGTCACAGCTGAGGCATCCAATTATTGCGCCGGATGATTATTGGGGCACATGGACTGCCTTGTTTGCTATTGGCGCATTGGGGATCTGGTACTTTCTATCGATTCTTATTTGTTTAGCTCAAAGTGGATATCGATTGTGACTTGCATTTATTGCTAAAGAAATCCACATTATAAGAACACATGGGATGTATTTTATGGTGTTGGAATGTGTTTGTTTTGGGGGGAGGATTATTACAGGGAAAACACTAGTGAGACTTGTTTCTTTTTCTGTTCTGTCCTCAATAGTGGAAATTGAAGTTGTTCATGAATGGATTAGAAGTTTAGTTTTATTCTTGAATCATAATGTTAGCTGTAAGCATACTGCTTAATTGAATATGCAAATGATTTTTCAGATTTTTGTAACAGTGCTTCTTTTTACTCTAAGTAAATCTTTCAAATAACCACAATGGTAAGAGGAAATGGCAAAAGGAAAAGATGAAACTATATGAACAATCATACAATATATTTCAATGAAGATGTGAAAAAAATACTCTTGAAAGTATCAAAAGATATTTCAATTCATGCCCCCTTGAGGAAGAATGAAATTTCATTGTTATAAATTTTGGGTGGATTACAATTTCGAGTAATGTAGAGTTATTGTATTTCATTAATATATTTTAATACTTTTTATTTACTTTAGGTTACATTTACATAATGGTTAATTATGGTTATAAAGTATGAATGTTACAACTCTTGGAATGCTTTTAATAGTTTTATTTTGAGGCGGTATAAAATCGTGTAGTTTAGGTTGCATGTAGAATGAGCATTAGTGCTTTCTTTTTAGCCAATGAGTAAGTTTTCTATGTAGTTTAGGTTGCATGTAGAATCATTCAAGCTTGACATGATCAATCTTGCTTGTGGAGTGATTCGAATCTCAAACAAGTGTTCTTGCCTTGAGATATTTGATCAACAAGGATCATTCAAGCTAGACATAATCGATCTTGCTTGTGGAGTGATTTGAATCTCAAACAAGAGTTCTTGCCTTGAGATATTCGATCAACAAGGTAATCTGAATCTTACTTTCCTTGTAGTGATTTCCATATCATTTGGTACCAGAGCTCTTGGACTGATTTCCTTATCTTTTGGCATCCGACCTTTCCCTTGGGTTGATTCCATATCGTTTAAGGAAATTAAAGAGACGTTTGTTAGGATTGGACATTCTCGTTGCATGTTTAACGACCCATTAAAGGTTTTGTTTGTTAGCTAATCTGCGATTACTCTGTGAATTTGGGTTTAAAGGTCTGAGAAGACCACAATAGGTAGAACAGTGAGTGCTGCTTTGGTTAGCACTTTGGTTGGCCTGGCAGCCAGTAACTTTGGCATAATCCCCTATGAAGCCGTGTCTTATTCAATTGTCATGGAAATTCTGCTTCCAGTATCTGTTGCCTTGCTACTATTTCGGGCAGACATGCGCCATATAATCCGATCAACTGGAACATTACTTGGAGTCTTCATGCTCGGATCAGGTAATTAATTTGTCTTCAGATTCTTGATAGCACTGACTTAGTAATTCAACCTATTTTCTTGAGAATTGGTTTGAATTTTGAAGCATTAATGATTTAGAGGTTCATGTTTCTAAATTGTCGTGAATCTACTGTTTCTTAACTATTTCACCCGCTGTAATCTAATGCTAACTTCTTGCTGATTAAGCTGAATAATGAATAATTGTTTTTAATGGTCAATCTTTATTGTTTGTCCTCTTCTTTGCAGCCTTTGCCCCCTTTTGTCCTTTACCCTCTTTCATCTCTTTTAAATAAAAGATACAAATTCGAAATAGAATACATATGGATTTTTTTCTAAAAAGAAGAAAACTACATTTGGAAAAAGAAGCACTGTTTTAAGAGTAAACTTGTAAGAAAACTCCATATTCTTTTCTTTTAGTTATAACTCAACTTTCTCTTTTTTGTATTGTTATTATTATTAATGTTTCCTTTTATATTTCAAAGACCATGGCAACTTTGAATGATCATTTTTCTTACAAACCGAGAAGCTTGAAATCGAAAATTTTTTAAAAGCCAAATGGAATGTAGTAATAAAAAGCAATTTTTGATAAATTGAAGTTTAGGGTCAGATATTTCATGCATGAGCTAAAGCTGAAGGAAACGAACATAAATTAATAGGTCCGTTACAATTAATTGTTTGACAGCCTGATTTTCAGAATTGAAAGTTCAGAATAAATTTGCTATATTGTTTTAAAATTGCGAGTTTGTTTTTAACTACTTTATTTTCTGTGGATGGCAGTTGCGACTATTATTGGAACTGTGGTAGCATTTCTCATGGTGCCTATGAGATCACTTGGTCCTGACAACTGGAAAATAGCTTCTGCCCTCATGGGTAGTTATATTGGTGGATGTAAGTTGTCAGAAAGTTTAAACCCTGTTATTACTGTATTTATGTCTCAAGTGTGGCATTTATGACCGAAACGAGATTAGATGAAATTATCAAACCTGTCAGCATCATGTGGCCAACCAGCCCCATTAGTGGCAGAGATTATTGTTGTAAATCCAACCTCTCTGCCCTTTATATTGATACAGAGACGTTTGGGGACCACTACCACATTGCTATTTCTTTCCCAGTTGGACAGTTTTATTTTTCCTAGTGTTTTTGGACAAGGGAAGCAAGGAGTTTTAGAGCCTTATTGAAACTAGAAAATATCTAATCGAAGTGAAATTCAAACTCTTGATACTTGTTGATAAAATTTATTAACGTTCATCACCCTACCAATATGTATCCAGTAAACAGAATTTGCGGCTATAGAAATAATTTTTCTTACCATGCGATCATTAGAGAGTCCTCTTGTATCGCTTGTAGAGGCTGAATTTTACTGGTCATCCATATCTATGTCTTCTGGAACTATGAAACATATACATCCTACTCATTCAGCATCCATTTTTCTCTATTTGATATTTCTGATGATGTGCCTGGTTAATGTGTCTCTACTCTTTTTTTCTTCTTTGACCTATCTTCCTGGTTGATCTATGTAGCTGTTAATTATGTTGCAATTTCAGAGGCTCTTGGTGTTTCTCCATCAGTTTTAGCGGCAGGAGTGGCTGCTGACAATGTCATCAGTGCTTTATATTTTGTAGCCCTCTTTGCATTGGCTTCTAGAACACCTCCTGAACCCCCAACATCAATCAACGGTACATGGTTCATTCTAGCTTTAGTATCATGCTAATAATTTTCAGAAAATATGCATTTAGGTCTAGCATAAGAATTGGTGTAAGCTCGGTTTCGGGCTGGAGTCCCTTTTTGTTGTTGAGTTTGGACTCTTTTCGTGTGCTTTTTTTTTTTCTGTGTGTGTGTGTGTGTGTGTGTGTGTGTCCTCGTGTATTCTTTCATTGTGCTCAATGGAAGCTTAGTTTCTTGCCCAGAAAAAAGATGATGACGAACCATCCTACACATGCACCATTAACCATGTGTGTAATTGTAACCCTTGCTATTTATATCCTTTCTCAAGATTGAAAGTTTTTGGAGAAAATAGCACCGTACAATTCCGGTTTCCTACTACCACATCTATGATTTCTCAATTAAAATTTGAAAACTTTCCCAGATGCTTCAACTGATATGGACTCTGATAACGGCACGAAGCTCCCTGTGTTGCCAACTGCTACGGCTGTTTTTGCATCATTTGCAATATGCAAGTTTGTCACGTGGATTACAAATATATGTAAAATTCAAGGTGCCAATCTTCCGGGGATAACTGCAGTTGTTGTCATTTTAGCTCCCGTTTTCCCAAAACAGTTCAGTTATTTAGCACCCGCAGCTGATACCATTGCCCTGATTCTTATGCAGGTATGTATTTTTGGTTAGTTGCATCACTCACGGAAGATTGTGCACCGTTTTCTATTCCTGCTCGTTAATAACCACAGAAAATTTACAGTAGTACTGTAGAGAGCACTTTGATCTTCCCGCCCAAAAGTTGTATGCTTTTGTTCTGTCTGGCCTATGGATTTGGCTCACCTTTAGGTATCTCCATTGCATACTGAGAGGGTGGGGGAAGGCTTCAAGGAGCTGTTGCTTTGACTAGGTGAAAAAAGTACATGTTGGGTGGGACCTGGAGTAAACAAATAAAAAACAGTAACGGTCGGCCATTATTACTTTATGAAAAACATGCATGTTGGGACCAAGTTTGTTCCCTAATGGCATGTCCTGAACACGATCCTGCTATTTTAGTTTGCGCTGATGAAAGAATAAATTTAAGCACAGGAAAGTAAGGGAAATGACACTATCCTTGTTTAAAAAATCATTTTAAATGTTCTAAACAAAAACTTCTATAACTTGTAGATCTGGGTAAAACATAGCATGGCATGAGATTTTAAGTTAACTGAGGAACACCTGAAAGTTCAATTGGCTTGTTTATTTGATCTGACATGAACAGGTGTTCTTTGCGGTTGTCGGTGCTAGTGGGAGTGTGTGGTATGTCATCAACAATGCACCAAGTATTTTCATGTTTGCTCTAGTTCAAGTTACAGTCCATCTTCTTGTAATTCTTGGTTTTGGAAAGCTATTCAGCATTGATTTAAAGCTGTTGCTTCTGGCTTCAAATGCCAACATTGGAGGCCCAACAACAGCATGTGGAATGGCAACTGCCAAGGGTTGGAGATCTTTGGTGGTTCCTTCTATTCTTGCTGGCATTTTCGGTATTGCAATTGCTACTTTTCTGGGCATCAGTTTTGGGGTGATGATCCTCAGGCGTTTGTAGAAAAAACACGTAAGTTTTCTTAAGCATCAAATTTCTATTTACATTCCTTTCCACATACTTCATTACGTGTATGATCAAACATCTTTCCATTGGCTCCTTGTAAAACGTGATATTTTTTGGAGTAAATCATTAGTTATAAACTAATTTTAAAATGAAGATTACATAGTTCTTTAATACATCTAATCGATCTATTATATTAGTAGATGGTGATTAGACACCAATCATTACTGATGTGGAATGAAATTTTCTCCCTAAAATTTGGAACATGTAATAATGGTGACAATAGAACAATGTATAGATATCTTGATAAAATGTATCAGTACAAAATTGGAAAAACTGGCAAAACCTTTAAGTACTTCTCTATTATATGTTTGTAAGAGCAGTTGAACAATCTATTCTTGCTTTGGAATTTATCCATATGGTCAGACAACATTCAAACTCTCAATGCTTCAGGTGATCAAAATGCATATTTAAAGATGCCATTTGTTCACTGCTGAAAGGATCAAAATTTTCATTTTCTTGTCGTTGGGGAAGGAAAGGACCCAGACGCTCGGTTGGTCGAGCACTGAATGCAGCAATGTAAGTTCAAAAGGTAAGATCATGACTCTAAAAAATGCTTAACTGGAATGAATGTTGTGAAGATTTATCATTGACAAGTACAAAAGAAGTGAATAAAGAACAGAACTGCTGTAGTTTCTCAATTTCTTGATGGTTTTTTTTTTTTTTAAGGATAGTGTTAAACACAGAAGCCTCAAAGTAGATCAGTTTGGCTGTTTATTATTTACCTTGAAACTGGTCAAAATAGCGATGTTTTCCAGAAGAACTCCCCACAGGGGAGACAGAAGCGTACAGAAACTTTTGACTCTTGAAAAAGGCCAAAAACATCATAGAGAAAGAGCAGCAAATTTTCTCTCTCGGGATTCTCTTTGCGTCCTGGTATTTGAATTTTGACTACTTATCCTTTTTTTTACCCCTTAATATAAGAATGATGCCTTCTTTTGAAAGAAACAAAAAGATAATGTCTAAAGGAGCTTGTGGGGTTGTGCTATTTTGAAATGGAAACAATCATTTATGTCACGTGTTAATGAATAATTTCGTTTTTTTTTCCTGTTTTTTGACCTTTCGATCGATGATATAAAAAATGTTTAACGTGGCTCATAAGGTGTCTGATTACACACTCACCATGGTATGAATGCTGACATGAAATGAATTCCTTTTCATTCTCCCAGAGTAGATTAGATGCTCATCTACTCTTAGCAGCCGTCCTAATTAAGGACCCCTACAATTGTCTTTATTAATATGTTCATTGTTGAAATAAGTTTTCACTTTAATTTTTCTTCTAAATAGAAATAATTACTCTTATTAGGATCCAAATATTTACCGACCACGTCACCGTCTCTTTCACAATTATGAAATTAGAGTTTAGGCAATCTGGATGTCTCCGTCACAACTCAGTACAACACATTGATTATTTTCTTAAAATTACCAACTCGATTATAGTTCGCTGAATGAATACACTAATTACTATGTTCATCTCACTCTATAATTAAAAAGAAAAAAGTGTCATTATCGACCCTAAACTTTGATATGCGTTTAAATATTTAGTAATTCTGGAAGGACAGCCAAGACTCTAAATAATTCACTCATTATTCTTTGCGAATGAAGTATATGTTATTATGATACCGAGAGACTATGTTGGAGTTACTAGAGGTTGCGACTAAACTCGATTAGCAAGTTGTTTATCATCATTGAACTTCATATGTATCGTAGTTGGTTTAAGTATAAAGTCAGTCTTCCTCATATTTATGATATCATTTTGATACTTATAGAGGGTCGTTAATCAACCTCTAGTAGTGAAAAGCTTATCTAACTGACATATGTATTGCAATTGGTTAAGCAAAGATTAACTAATCGTACGTCAAAACGTGTTAAGCTTGAAAATATGACATTTATATTCTAAGACAAGTACGAGCATAGGAGTATTAAATGACAAAACCCATAATTTCGAAAAAAAAAATGTACTTTTTGGAATAAAGTTGCTCAAAGATGAGGATTAGTAATTTTGTGCTTCCATTGAATGTCAGGTCATTTCAGACGCCAAACCCTAAACACTTGTTTGGGCTCCACAATAACTCCTCTCTCTCTCTCTCCTCTGTCAATTTGACTTTTTTTTTTTTTCAAGCTTATAAAGAATGTTTCATTTTTCTCTTTACCCGAGTTGTAATTCACACGAATCCTCGACTCTACAACACGGAATTAGAATTAAATATCTTTTTTATTATCTAAATACATAATTTTTAGGGTCGAAGAAGAATATTTAGTGGCAAATAGTAACATAGCATTAATGAGAAAAATTACCACTTTATTTTTTATAATAAAAAAAAATTATTATATTATAGTGAAAACTAATTGACTTTTGAATTAGGTAACTACTATTAATGATTACAAAGAAAAAGTGAAATCGAGTGGCAAATATATTGCACCAACCAATCAGAAATTGACACGTCATTCAGAAATATTTATATAAAAGAAAAATTAGGAAAAAAATAAAAGTGGGGAATCGACGCTACCAGTTGGCACTTCACCAAACTTGCGCTTTCACACACCCCAAAATTAGGAAAAATATTAATCCCTTTTTTAAATTTAAAAAAAAAAAAAAAGGAATTTTCTCGGGAAAATGTTAATATTAATATTAATATTGATACCTTAGAAAATTAGGTAATATTAAGAAAAGGAAAAAAAAAAGACATAGCAATGAGTGATGTTGTTAACTAACGCCATGCGGTTGTGACGGTGAGAGTCCGACCCATCCAACCGAAGCAAATCCCTCCGTTTTCTTCTTTAACGGTGAACCCCGGGTTGACTCGGTAACCTGAACTCAGCCGGGTTTTCATCGACTCGGCTACCATTTCACTCATCCGCCTTGACTCGAACCCGGCCATCCCCATTCTGGCTCTCCACTTTCCCGAAACCTCGCATCTTTCCACGCGCTCTCTACCTTCGCAAGCCAGCGAATTCGCAAGCTTCCGCCCGAGCCCCTCCTCCACCTTGACTCGGTCCGGGTGGTCGCACCACACGGTTGAGTCGATCGAGTCAAACAGCGAGCCGTAGTAGATGCATGACTCGCTCACGCGCGCTGCAAACGGGGCGGTGTTCGTGTTTAATTCTTGCTCCATTACCGTCACGACGGCAGGTGCCAACGCCTTCACGCGCCGGAGAAGCTCATCCCGGGGATTCTCCGTTGACACGCTCTCATCTGGCATCTGGTATAACTTGAATGCGAAATTCACTGCTAGAGATTCGTCTGCGTCGCACCCGAGTGACTCGCGCGTCAGCGCCGCTAGTTCGTGTTTCACCATGTTGAATTTGAACCCGACGCCGAGTTCTTTCGCTAGTTGACTCAGTGACTCGCCGACCTGTTTCAACCTCTCGTCTCTGCCGTTCTCCGCCACAACCGCCGTCAATTTCACGACGACCTTCCCTTTCTGACGACCGGAGAGAAGGTGGATTAGATTCATATACTGACCTCCCTTTCCAATATCGAAATCTACAACGTGCAATTTCCGATCCTCTTCCTCTATCGCCTCAAGAATAGCTAGATTCGCCGCCATGAAAGCAAGCTTAAAACAAGGAGAAACATCGTAAAGGGACTGAGTCGCCGCCGAGTGCTCGTCGCCAAATATCTCCGCCACCGGAGGCGGAAATTCCGCTGGATTTACCCGCGATTTCAGAGCGAAAACCATATACTCGGCCAATCTCTGCACAGAACTACCTCTCGCATTTGAAAACTTTACCACCGGCGCAAGAATCTCATCCACAACATCCAATTTTCCCTCAGAAATCGCCGCCGCAGCCTCGATTACAGACTGTTTCCAAGAATCAGAGGACGGAGAAGCTACAGAGGACGACGTAGACGAAGAACAAGAAGACGAAGCAGAGGTAGTTGGCGAAGTGGAAACCGGCTTCTGATTCGGCGGCGCCGTCGGACTAATTAGATTATACATCGTCTCACACCAAGCGCTAGTCGAACTCGTAATCACAGACGCCGCATCACTTCCATCATCGTCGTCGTTATCTTCAAGAAGCTGTTTCTCCAACTCCTGAAGGCGGTGATTCATCATCATCTTCTTCTCCAAGTCCAGATTCTGCAAATCCCTGAGCGTCACCGCCGAAGAGTTGGGCTGTTGACGGAGCTGCTGAAGAACCGCCGCAGAGGACGACCCATAAAGACGGTGGGTCTGAACCTCCGACGATGGCAGAGACATAGTGGAGTACAAATCAAAATTGGAAAGAGGAGAAATCGGGTGACTGAATCCGGCTCTGGGCTTAACAGAGCGGAGGAAGAGATTATTGACCGGAAGATTATGGTGGGTATATTGATTAAGAGAGTGAAGATCGGAGAGATTCCGTTTCCCGAGCAGAGAAGAGGGTATTTGGCGAGCGATCTGAGGGATAGTCGGATCTACGAAAGCCCCGCCGGAGAGCTGGGATCTGTAAGGATTAGGATGAGAAGGATTCGTCATGGATCTGCCGGAAGTATAGAAATCCGGTGGTCCACCGCCGGTGAAACCTGACTGCATCTCTGTAATCCTCTGCCTTTCGCGGTGGCGATTACGGCGGAGAGAAATGAAAGGGGAAGAGAGAATTGGGAAGAATGTAAATTATATAAAAAGAAAGAGTAAAAGGAAAGAGAGGAATCAGGGAAGAAGATTAAAGAAACAGCCTTTTTTCAAAAATTTCAACCCCACCGGCCACCATCCTCTGTTCTATCCTTCTATCAAATACCTCTCTGTTTTTTTTTTTTTTTCTCTTTTTAAAAAACGTGGGCCGTTGGATGAGACGAGAGATGGATCGACCCAACCCATGCTCCTTACTTTTCACGAAACTTTCGCTTCATTCCCTACGCTCATCTACCGCGCGTCTGCTTCATTTCCCTTGATTTTCAAAATATGTTTTTTTTTTCTTCATTAAATAATATTAATTTCAAACTAATTTTTATGGTATGTATTAAATGACGTCGTGCTTTCTATTTATATGATTATGAGTTTTTTTTTAATATAATTATTTTGGTGATTTGTGTTGGTAAACTATGCTTTATCAATATTAAGAACAAAATTGAAAAAATATTATTAAAGAAAATAGTTATTATGGAATGCGTCACTCAAATAAATCTCATTTATTTTTACTTGTTTTGTATTGTTCGAAAAAAAATAAAAATATTAAAATATTTTAAAAATAATATTGGTTTTATTTATAATTTTAATAAACAAGAAAAGAAGGGATAGATGGGCACGCGCGATGGGAGACGCGTGGATGAAAGGGGCAAAATCCGGGAGTGATAATCTGACAGGTGAAATTAAAAAAAAAATTAAAAAAAAAAGGAAAAAGAAAAGGAAAAGGAAAGGACAAAAAAGGGCATAGAATTGAATCAGTGGAAACATAGTTTCACACGTGTACAAAGAGGAGAGGAACATTCATGCAGTACTTTGTGACAGCCACTTCCGTTTAAAAACGCCCTTCCCTTCCTTCCTTCCTTCCTTCATTCAACCGGTTACCAAAATCCATTCTCTTCGATTGCGACACCCCCCCTTACCGCCACCTGTCGGTTACCGCGTTTCCATTTCCTTTCCTTTCATTTATTATTATTTATTTATAATATTGTTTCTTTTATTCAACCATCCCCACACTACTTTTTCTTTTCATTTACGTCCAATACTTTTTAATTATTCCATTTCCTATTACTAAATATTAAAATTACAAGACATAACCAATATCGAAATTCACTTACCGCGATGGTATAATTGGAATTTCATCCTATTTAATTTTTTTTAAAAAAATAACTAAATTGGATAGATGTAGATTGAGTCTACAACCACTGTGGGTAGGTAATAATGTTAGCTAAATAATTATTGGAAAATTAATAACAATGAAAGATTAAATTTGTGTTATTCATATCGCACCATTTTTGGAATGTATCAACCATAGCTTAAAAAAATTATATAAAAATAATTAATGTTGGGATATTCAAATTGAAGAAGACTGAAATTAGGTCTATAATTTATTAATTCTAACAACTTCCCAATTGATGATATTAAATAATATATTATATTATATAGTTTTGATGCAATGGTGACGTAGTGTCTAATGTGATATTGATATCATTAACTAATTGTTCATACTTATTAAAGCCTACTATAGTTTAAAACTAGTAATATTAACAAGAAAATTATAATTAAAATTAATTAAATAAATATTTTTAAAATAAACTAAAAAAAATCTGAAGAAAAATAATTAAAATTGATGTATTAAAAGAATAGAGGTTAAAATAAACAAAAAAGAAAAATATTTAAATTTTAAAATATTTGATAAAATTATTATAAAAACATCGAAAATGGGTAGCGTGTGGGGAAATCTAGAGGAGAAATTAGTTACCAACTAACATATTTTCTCTTCATGTTTCTTCGAAATATTGGCCAGGTCAGATATACTTTGACACGTGTCAATTTCTCGCACATGGCCACGTTGTCCCTTGCCTAACTCAAATTCCAACCAATCACATTTTTTTTATGTTTTCCCACTCTTTTTTAATCCATTTATTGTCTTATTTTTTCACCGTGGAAAAAGATTAGAAGTCCAAATTAATTGATTTCAAATTCATTCCAAATTTGGGATTAATTCATCTTTTAACCAAACTATTATAAATAAACAACATTTACTTTTAATATAATTTGGATAAAACAGTCTTTTCGTCTATCTCTCTACGTAATTACTTGTGAAAGAAGCAATCTTAAATGAATTTGATTTCAACGTGAATATTAACATAGCAACTAAGTCAACTGTAAAAGTCAGCCAAATAGTGAATAATTTTAAGTGACTTGAAGAAAAAAAGTCATTTTTATATCAAATCGGGTCCGTTAATTTTGTTTTAAATTTGATATTAGTCCAAGTTGACAAAGGCTATGATTGTAGAAATAGGGGTATTGCCACGTGTCATGTTGATTTTAAATGGAGAATAAAGCACATTCTATGGGTAAAATCGTCATTTTAAAACTCCCTTAATATTTGATTTGGTACCAACTTTTAAGGAGTCGGTGGAAGGACCGGCAATAAGGCGTAATTAATTGACGAGAGAAAATTCTGGATAATAAAATAAAATTAAAATCTTGAAATCTTTTGCTATTTAATTTCATTTATTACCATAAAGAAAATCAAATTAAAATTTAATTTTTTAAAGTTTTTTTTTTTTTTTTTTACCTCATGAAAATTTAGTTCAAAAACTAATTTTATTATAATTATTATAATTTCCTCTCAAAGCATTAATTTTAATTCTATAAAAATTAGGGTTTAGTCTTAATTATTAAATAATTTGTTAATTAATTCACATAAATTAAGAGTTAAAAAAGAATAAAGGTAATATAAAATAAAAAAAAATAGAGAATATAAAGGGGTATTATATAATGCAACACACTGTCGACTAATAGAATCTCACACGCAATTGAGGAAGTTGACGCGCAAACGCTACGAGTTCTTTGACATTAACTTTTTTCACTATTTTATTTTTGGTTGTTAGGGTTTAAATTCTCGTACTTATAATAAAATAAAAATATTATTTAAAAAATCAAAATCCATAAAGTCAATTTTTACCCAATTTCTTTTCACTTTCTTGCAAGGCAATCAAAGCTAGTACTTATTAAAAAATAAGACATTTTTAGTACATAATATATGATATTTTATTTATTAATGTAATGATAGTCTAAGCCTTTTTAAAATGATTATTGTTAATTTGAATATTTCAATCAAATTAGGTGTAGATTTGGCTTGAGAATCGGCCCCTACCTTAAATTTAAAGATATGATCCCTAATAATAAAAATATATAATTTATTTAAATTAATTAAAAGCTCTTTTGATTTTGCTTTCGGGTTCTTGACTTTGACCTAATAAAAGGAGTATTCATTGATTATAAACTCATGTTGGTATTTCAAATTTTTGTTTAATATATATATAGTAGAAATATTGATAGAGAATTACAAAAGTGGATGAAAAAGGTGTCAGAAAGGGTGAATTTTATTGGTATATTACATTATCCATATGTACAATAATTGGTGAAACCTTTTACAAAGTGGAGTAAATAATTCACGGTAAAAACACACATCTCATCCTTCAAATCCACATTTACCCGAGTTTTTTTTTTTTTTTTTTCTAAATTTAAAGTTCAAAATATTTAAAAGTTTAAAATTAAATATTTTGGCACAATAATAAAACCTTGTTTAAAAGTAACGAAAAGCATTTTAATTCATTAAATAACAATTTTATCTTTTCGAAAAATTAATTACACAAATGTTTATATTCTAATAAAATTATAACTTTGATTGAATTATAATAGAATGGTAATTAAGATTTTTATTACTAAATTTTAATTTTTTAAGATATAAAAACAAAAAAAGCCCTTAATTAACCTACTTAATCCGGATTAATATAGAGGGTTAGACTAATACAAAAATGGAGGAAGAAAGGGGCAGAAAATGTGAAATCATTGAAAATAAATAAAAAAAATAGAGGGGTAAAAACGTCATTAAGGAAAAAGAAGAAACTTTGTGGTGAATTGGCACATCCAAATTTCCATTTGTCCCCGAGCCGTCGGATGAGATTGTCGAGAGGAAACGTGGCAAGATCGCAGTGTGGATTCACAGGAAGCTGTCAGTACGGTCGCTCCCATGGAATTACTGATGAACCCTCTAAATTCCACCTTTTTTATTATTATTAATTGGTTTTATGTTTATATTAGAATTTAATTAAATGTTTGGGTTTAGGGAAGTGGGGCCCGCCCCTTCAAATTTATACTAAATTATTGACCCACTTTAAAAGTTTTAAAATTGAAAAGATGAAGATATATTGGATATGCATAACAAATTATTGTTCCTTTTTTTTTTTTTTTTTTTTTTTTTTTTTTTTTTTTTTTTTTTTTTTTTTTTT